TGTATTTTTACATTTTTCTTTAATTTACTTTCATTGTTTTTAACCATTTGTTTGGCACAGATAGCCTCGCTGCTTTGCACCATAAAGCACCAACCAACCAACCTCTCTCCCTCTCTCTCTCTACACATATATATATATATATAGAGTGTGTGTGTATATTCTCATTCTTTATTATCTACTTACAACCATTTCTGAATACTTCATTAAAGGTCTGTTTCATTTATAATTTTTTTTGGTAGAAAATGGTCCATTTGTGGAAGAAGTGTATCATCTTCAACATTATGCAGAGGGCTGGAAAGATGGGCAGTGGGAAGAGAAATTTGATAATCGAGACTGTATCAATGAACATTCATTTTGGGAAGACGAAACTGGAAACTACACTGGTTGGTTTTGGGGTTACTCTGGGATCCAGGTTTTCTCTTTTACTTGTCTATCTGTGCAAGGGCATGCAAGTACTTTGAAGCCCCTTGTAAAAAATTCAAAAGTACGGTAAGCCAGGATTAGAAGTTAAATTCATGTATTCAATAAACTTTTCAGATGAATTTGCTTTGTACTTCATTCGAAATGAAGTTACAAATTTTATTTCCAAACATTTGAAGTATTACTGTTAAATGTGTGTGAAGCATTTTTAGAAAAGAATGCTAAAATTACCTTTTGGTAACTTAAGTTATGTGTATATGAATCCAGAGTATGAAACTTTTAACTTAGAAAATGCGATTATTGATTTGAATTTTAAGTTTTATGTTTTAATAATTAACCCTGTAAGTGTCAAGAGGGTCATTTTAAACTTTCTCCATCAGGTGCCATTGTGTGGTATTTTCAGGTTGAACTGATTTTTTTTTAACATAATAAGATAGGTTTGCAGAATAATAGATCATTTGATTAGAATATTTACTGTGAAATAATTCTGAATCCTCTTGAGTAACTGAGTTCATGAGAAAGAAATAAGCAACTGGACACAGTTGTATAGAAATATAACGAAACAGTCTGTTTTTCACAACATAACCACAGTGTATATATTTGCTTGATATAACAGACAATTTACTTTTACTGGATTTAGTTTACTTTTTCTTCAGACTTTGTTGTAATTTTTTTCTGGACTGGTTAAACTTTAAATGCATACTTACCCAGAGTGATTAGCTCTACCCACATGGTTGACAGTTCTTGTTTGAAAATAATGATAGTTCTAACCTTTAGGTATCACCTATTTACCATTGTAGAAAACCATTGTCCACTTTCATGCACTAGGTACAGATTTACATCAGTAGACTAGGTATTTTATCAAGGGAATGACAAAGAACAAACCTAGCTAAAGCAAAACTAACTAAATGACTTTCTTGATCATGTGTTATGTGAAATGTGTACATTCATACATCTGAATAACTAACAAATTTTGAAAATTTTACCCCCAAAACAAGAGAGAGTAGAAAATGCATAGTATGCCTTCATGCTGCACTCTCACATTTAATTCAGGCTTATCCTCAAGCCAACATTAATTATGGACTTTACAGTTTATATCTGTACATTGTCACTGATCAAGTACTGTAATTGTCTCTTGCTCCTGTAAATAATTACACACAACACACCTGACACAACTCTTAATAAAAATGCAGTACACACTGAAATCTTTATGACAATAATATACAATCCAACCATAATTAAGCAGTACACACTGAAATCCTTATGACAATCATATACAATCCAACCATAATTAAGCATGAGAGAAAATGCAAAATTAGCTTTTATCATCAAACACAATATCAGAACACAGTTAACAATGATATATAATAATCAATAATTTTATATCACAAGAAAAAATACCTTTGAATACAGAATAAAGTTAAATGAAGTACAAAACATAATACATATCAAAAACCTTTAACAATGAAATTTTAATCATCACACAGAAGAACAAAATCAAAAACAGAAAAGAAAATTATATCTTTAATAATGAATAGAACAGTCATAATCACAATAAATAAGTGCAAAAATAAATGCTTAAATAATCACATCAAAATGCCCTTGAAGATAGAAGATTGTAATATTAAAGTTTGAAATATGAAAAACAATTAAAACCCTGTAATATTGAAATGAGTTACAAAACACAGTACATTATATACATTTATATACAGCTCCATAATCAAAGCTAACTTCATATCACAAAGTCTTAATGTTTAGATCAAATCTTTGATTTCCACTTGCATGATACTTAATAGTTGTTTGTATAATTGATCCATTACTGTTACACAACACTCATAAATGACTAGGTAATGTTATAATGTGTGTAAGACCATATAAATAACTTGTATGCACATTACATTGGTAACCTTCTTTCATAGGTTACTTTCAGAATACATATCTCTGTAGCTGCAGTCCCTTTTAAGACAGGATTAATACTTGTGCTGTTACCAATGTCAATATACACTCAGAGGAAACATTCTTGCCACTGCACACTGTAAAGTTATTCATTCATCAGGTGTAAATGAGAAGATCCAACAAGGACCATAAACTATGCTCCATAAATCAGCCAAAACAAATGAGGGATTCTTGCAAAATGTCATTCAACATTTTGCCACAGAAAATCACTCAATAGCTCAGAAATTAAGAGCCACAACAGCTTTTCAAGTGAGTTTTCAAACTCTTAGCAATCACCTTTGTGTAAACTGTAGATTACTAGATATTACCTCAAATGGCAGCATCCTAAACTGTATTAATCGAGAATCTGTCGTCCAATAATCCACAAATATCTCTCATTTTTAAACTCTTCTCAATAGCTTGGAAAATAAAGGTTGCTAAGGCACTTTGGTCCAACTGACCTTATGATCAACAAACTATTTTAACTGGTGATAGTGTTAATCATATAATGTAGTGTACACAGTGTACCATACCATAGTTCCTGATAGCTTGGAAAGTTACTTTCTTTCAGTCATTGATATTTAAACCAAATGAATGACTGCCTTAGCTACAGGTAATTGGTTAATCCCAGGTGTATCAATGAGAAGATTTGCAGTAGCACTTTTGGAGCTATCTCTTGTCTAGATCTGGTGGTTCTTCATTTGGCTTATTGTGAACAGCCATTCCTCTTCCTACACTTGTTAGTCTGTATCACTTACTATAATATAACACATATTTAAAATAACGCATACTATAATATAACACATATTTAACATAACACATACTTTAATATAACACATTGAACATAACACATGCTTTAATATAACACATTTAACATAACACATACTATAATATAACACATATTTAACATAACACATACTTTAATATAACACATTGAACATAACACATACTTTAATATAACACATTTAACTGCCTGAAGTTTTGGGCAATATGACCTTCTTCAGGAACATCTTTCTATTTATTGTGGCTTTAGTGCACCCAAAGAAGTGTGTTCTGCTGAAATATCATTCCAATAGCTTAATAGCAATTTGGAAAAGGTAATGGTAAAAATTTTTATTGACATTACTCTATCTACAGTTTCAAAATGAATAGTTGGATCCAACTTGAGGATAATTTTTTACAACAGTAACAATATTAAAAGATTTTTCATTTTGCATGTGATTTAATGTACTATCACAACACGGAGCATGTCATAGTTATATGAGGTAATATATGCTTGTGATTAACATACATTTTATGGCACTTGCATCTTTTATTTCATTATAATGTTTATTGAGATTAGCTGACATTGACATTATTCCTTAAGTTAGATTCTAATGCCAATTTAGTCTAATTTTTCATCTATCTCTACCTTACAACAATGTACATGTTTCCAGTAAATTCAAACTTCTATTTTAAATTGGCAATGAGTATATGATGTTTTTGGTTTTTTTGTCCAAAAACTTACTCCTACCTATTAATTAGAGCTCCATCTAAATGAATGAAATACTTAGATGTCACTTGAAAAAATACATTTTCATTTTAAAACTAATTTTTATAGAAATTAAGCATCATAATTTATTTTATAAGATATTCATTTCAGACAACTTTAAATATATGTCAAGAGGATCTTAGATACTGAACTAGCAACAATAGTGTTAATTTAGGTGTTGTTTATAGCATTATTCTACTTTTATAAAAAAAAAATGTGATATTTTCTGAAACGCACTTACCTCTACTCATACTTTAGCTTTATAATTTATAATTATAATAATTCAATAAAGGCTATGATGCAACTTTACTTTCTAAACTGGCATGAAGACCAAATTGAGTAAAGTTGTATTTTTAGGAGTTCATAGTATACGTTCTTACAGAAGGATATTTTTAATTTTTTTCAGTTCAGTAATGTTTGATAGGGCAGAAGTTGTTCTGCATGATCACTTTGGAGATCAAGATTTTTGGAAGGTGAGTTATAAGATGGTATTTTTAAATTTATTTGTGTTGTTAAATAATCTTTATGTTAAAAAAATTATCAACTTTATTAAAAATTCCTTTGGACCTTTCTTTTTTATTAATTTTGTATTACACTAATAATTCTTGTAGGTTTATATGCACCCAAACTGAAAACCTGAATGTGAAGACATACTTCATTATAAGATCTTTGAAACCTTGTTTTATTTGTCTGTTTGTTGTTTCTCACTATTTTTGTTAACCAAACAGAAAATCTTCTACTCATTCATACCGTGAGTAGCGGCAGCACCATTTTAGTCACGCATTTTCTAAGAGTTTACCCCTGACATTGAACAGTGTCATTGGTAATGGTGACACTGTCTGAGTAGATTGTATTTTTAATTTTTTAAACACTATAGGTTTTTTTAATTGTATATAAATCTTTTATCGACATATTTGGTTTTAACTCGCTCTATTTTTACATTTTATTCTAATTTACTGTCACTGTTTTTACTGGCTGTTTGGCACAGATAGCCTCGTTGCTTTGAGCCATAAAGCACCAAACAACCAAACAACTACTCATTCATATTTTCTGTTAGTTCTCATAAAGTTGAATTAGAAATGAAAAACACATAAGATTGTTGAATGAAATTATTTCTTTACTCTGTTAATCTTGAGAGATGACAAGAACAGGACATGCTGTGTCCCCCCCCAAAAAAAACAACAAAAAAAAAGGCTAGAACTATGAAAAACAAGCAGAATCAAATCAAATGTCATAAAGAATGGTCTAACTCTCTCAATACAGGCTCGGTCATTTTGACTGACCTTGTATCCACCAGGTAACCATGAAAATATCAATACTATAACTTTTAATGTGATAAGGATCTTGTCATGAACTTTAACAAGCTTTTATTGAACATTACAACTCATTCAGTGTTTAGTTAAGTATTTTTACTAAAGATTCGTCCATAAATATATAGAGTTGACTAGTCCGAGTGCAAGGTCATTTTCATGTTAAGGCTCAAATTACTTTTTTCCATCTTGCCGTTTTCAAATGTTATTTGCATAACCTTTAAAGCCTCCTAAATGAATATCTTATATTTATTTTTTTCTGTAAACTATATTTTACCTGGTATTTTCTCTATCCTAACTCTATACAGACTCAATTGATTTGATGTACCTTGTAACCACAAAAAACAAACAAACTAAATCTAAGTTACCTTTTTTTTTTCTAGAATGACTGCAGATTGTAACAGAAAAATACAATAATTTATCCTAACTTGCTTAAAGCTTGTGACAGTTTATATGTTTCTATTTAATTTTATTGTTTTATTGCTCTTTGAACCCTGTCGACATAATAATCCCAAGATACAAGATGTAGATCACACAGCAAACACATAGTTCAAATTACTAAATTGAATGATATTATGCACAAGCTTCTTGTGAGTATACTTCATGGAGAAATTTTTTTACTATTATATCTTTCTTTATCTTGTCTAATAAGTTTCTGCTTTTTACATTATAGTTATTCTTATAACAATAATTAAAAGATATATATTAAATAGATACAATAAATTTATTATTTACGTTTGGCCTCTTGTTTCTTTGTTGTTCCTGAAGTTAGATGGTGTCATTTGAGTCTTTTTACCTGCTTTATGAGCATTGTTTTATTTTTAACTTGTTTTCTTTCTACATTTCATTGTTTTACTTGCAACTTTTTTTTTACCGGTTGTTTGGTGCAGATAGCCTAGTTGCTTTGCGCCATAAAATGCAAAACAACCAACCAATGAAACTTAAGCCTTCTTTTTTTGTAATGATGGTACTTGTACGTTTTATTTATTTTAAGTATGCACTTAATAACACACAATAATAAAATGCACAAAGCAAACAATCCAACTTTCAGCATGTAGGCAAAATAACTAAAAATCTACTGAGAGCAAGCATTAAATATCATTCATTGAATTAAAACTTTGTCTTTCTTTGTAAAGGAGAGAATGTGATAAGTGAGTGTTTAATTTTGTATATATCTACATAAACAAAGAAGATTGAAGGCTATAAAAATTAGACTGTGCCGTAGTAATATCTATACTATGAGCAATTTACATTAGATTTGGGACATCAGAGAAGGGGGTGATGAACAAATGTCATATTAGAAATAAAAAGAAAGATTGAGAATTTATTTAAATATTTCCTTTTAAAGTTAAGAAATTAAAACTTATGTAATATTAAAATCTGATTTATATACTATGGTTTGATGCCAAGCTTATTCCTAAACATTGATAATAAAGTGTTTTTCTTATTTCAAATGTAACTATAAAAAGTCATTATGTGCACTTTGACCTACCCATAGTGAGAAAGTTAAACAACATATTCATTATTATGCATATTTTATATTATCACTGTTCCTGGTGTATTCAGTTAGATTTCCATGTTCAACTGACATGGAACAGTGATTTTATTAATAATAATATTATACTTGTATGTTTGTGAGTAATGATTGTAAAAATTAATGCATGATCATATAAACTTGTAATTACAATATATAATAACAAAGTTTGTGGTGATACTTAGGTAAGACGTAGCATGAGATTTGCCAAGCACTTGCGTGAAATTGGTGATGAGTTTCGAAGAAAGTTTTTAAACTCATCCGATGAAACTGATGGCACACTACTCCATGATGATTGGCAAATGATGAAAACTAAGTCAGGACAGGCAGTAGGAGGACCATATCTTGCTGTTCATTTGAGACGCAAAGATTTCCTACATGGTCGTCCCAAAGAAGTTCCAAGCCTAAAACATGCTGCTGAACAAGTTCAGAAAATTTTACTTAAATTGAAGTTGAACACAACTTTTGTAGCAACAGATGCACCAGAGAATGGTATTGTTTTAAAATATTTGTTAATTTCTATCACATTGATGTAAAAGTAAAGTTGATTTTAACACCTTAAAAATGACTGTTCTTTTCAGGGACATAAATTTTCTAATTAATTGCATAATATATGTTACTTTAACTATTAGTGGCACATAGGAAAAGTGGGTACAACAATGGAGTGTATTTAAACATTTGTCAAAGTTTCAGTTTGTGATACTTGACACTTATAGTTTCATATCCGTGCATGTAATTTGCTTATGTAGACTGAGAGTGACATCCCTCTGTGAGATAGCAGTAAGTGTATGGCTAAAATCTGTGGTTCAGTTCCCAGTGGTGGACACAGCAGAGGTCAATCTAGCTTGCTCTAACACAAGCAAATGTGAAATGAAATTGAGACTTACTTTAAAAATTGAAGGTGCTACTCTACTCTAGTAACTTCAAAAAGCTATAGACATAATTAGCTTAAAGTATTTGCTTTTGAACAAATAAAAAGATTTGTACATTTGCACATTGGTAGGTTTTGGAAATTTCCAAACCTAGAAAAATTATAGTATAGGTTACAAAATTTCAGCTTGTGTGCCCTCCACAACTCTATGTTATTAGAGAAGGAATTGAACCTCAAGAAATGCAGTGGTAGTCAAGTTGCCAAACACACGACTCTCACAGTCAACATACCAGGAAAGTTCTAAGTAGGACACCAAAATTGTGTCCCTATCAATTACATAACACCCTAGAACTGCTGCCAGAAGATACATACAAAAGGTTAAATTTTGTGCTCTGATTTCTGGCTCAAGTAAAAATCAGTGTCAGTTGTCTAGACAACATGTTTTGAACTGGCAAGGCTTATTTTTCTATTTGTGGTCAGGACTTACAACTGTGAGAAAAAAGTTCACATGCCATTGTGCAGTGGAGATTACATCATGAAAAGGAACAATGTGAGTTGGATTCAGAGGCAAGTTTTTCATTTTGCCTCATTTTTTTGAGGAATACACAAATGAAGAACTTGTGGCAGCGAATGCAAAGTGTGTTTGCTCTAGCTTATTGTAATACTTCATTTCAATATATATTAAACAATTTTAATGCCTGCTTTCTGATAAATCACACAGTTAGATCAAGTTCTTAAAGAACTGATATTTTTGGGGTTCTGGAAAATAAATAATTCCATCCTGGAGAGTTATTGAAAAGTCTGGAATTTAGTTCTTGTATTTCATGAACCCTGGAACCATTAACAACTTTTTAGAAATCTCAATGTACAGTGAAATACACTTTAGATTACACAAGCTCTAAGCCACACACATCCACTTAAATGTCTTTCCCTTTGTATTTTCAAAAGTATGTGTATATAAATCTGACATGTTGTTGGTTAGTGATATATTCTCAGTGGGCAAGTAATGTGGCTCAGCCACTCACTGTTATGCATTGTTACTGACTTGTTAACATTTCAGATCCTTCTGAAAATATGGAAAGCATGTTGTGAAAGCACTTATTGTCTACTCAGTAACATGATGCTCAGCATAGGCAAAACTTTGTTACATTGCACATTTTTGTACTTAGTCAAAATGTTCATGATTACCTTGTGTGCTTTAGAAACAAAATAATTGTCTCATTATGCTAATTTTATTTTTAATTTCTCAATTTTTTGAAGAGAATATTTATCAAAATTTAGTTGCAGTCACTTTCATTTTTATTTAGTATTGAATGTGCAGGTATGTAAAGCATGCAATATAAGTGGTATATCATTATGCATACTTAAAATATTTGAACCCTATTAAAAGATTCAGCCTTGTGACTTGCATTTCCACCTGATCTGTACAAGTTTATGGACCTTCAGTAGCCAGTTTTATTTAGTGGAAAAAAAATTATATATGCAAATGGAATTTGTCTTGAAACTTGGGGTATTTAAACTGTGGTTCTAGTGGAAAACACATACAAAAATGTTGATTTCTTGGACATACATATTACACATGCATAATTATCAATGATCAAGGTTGAACTGTCCTAGCCATTTAACCTCTTTAGATTGACATAACACACTTCTTCATACACATACATACATACAACTAAAATATGAAAAATAACTGTTACTGGTGTATGAAATAACTTTTAATCAACAGCTTGCAAACATGAGTATTTGAAGAAATTTCACATTTTCCTTGGTTTGTTACACCAATCCACTAAATTCAGTTGCAACTGATTTGTAAGATTAAGCAAGGTGAGGTAGTTGTATCATTAAATATTATAATTATTTACCAGTAGTTTTATTTTTGCCTAACATCTGAGTATTTGATGTTATTCACAGGAAAAAGTAAGAAATCAAAGGAAAACATTTTTGAGTGTTTTGTTATGATGATGTTTTTCTTGTAGTTGTATTTGACATTTTCAGTTTCAGTGATCAGATTAATGTTAATTTGGTGTGTGTGTGTGTGTGTGAGGGCACACATGTTTAGCAGCCTCCAAACCTCTAGGGTAGTTTTCCTTGGATTTGCCCACAGCTCACTCACGTGCCTTAAGCGTGCATTTAAATTAACTACTTCTCCATTTGAGAGCACTAACTTTAAAGAAAAATTTACTAATAATTCTATGAATGTTTTGAATAATATTTTTTTGAACAATCTAAACTTGTGCATTCATGTACAGATATAACATAAGCAAAAATGACCAAAAATTAAATTTATTGGATCTATTGGTTGGTCAGAACTGAAATTTATTGCACAAACTTTTTGATTTCTATTTGATATTGTCACTGCATTAAAGTTATGTTTCATTAGGAGTGGTATTATGGAGAAAATTTATGAATAAGACTGCTTCTGTACCTCTGTATTGGTTTTTCAAAACTTTTACAGTTTTATAAATACATTTAGAACATAAGTAATACACCTGTAGTGTACTTCTTCTTGGCATCAGAAACTTGATTTTCATAAACAAATAAGTCCTTTTATGTGTGTGTGTGTGTGTGTGTGTATGTGTAGGTGGGTTTTTTATGTATATACATAGTAATTTTATCATTTTCAGAATTTATGGAATTCAAAAAGTACATTCCAGGAGCCATCAAATATAATCCACCCCTAGAGGTGCGTCAACAATACCTGGATGGGGGCGTAGCCATTATAGATCAGTGGATATGTGCTCATGCAAAGTACGTAATCCTTACTTCTGTGTTTGAAATAAAAAACAAATTAAATCTTTAATGCACTGTGGCTGCTTTAAGGCAAGTGGATGTTTTATTGTAATGTCCATTAATGTCAGAAAGCTTTCAGTTAAATCTGTATTATTATTATTATTAGAAACCAAGTATATTTTGTGTGTTCTTTAATATTACCATTTACATTCACCTTTTTGATGGTAAAATAATACCACATTAGCATTTTTATGTAAATATTTTAGTCACGCAGTTTTAACGTGCTATAGATAAAATCACAGTAGCTAAGATGGTGTATGGATAGCTAGATAGATGCATACATACATAAAACAAATAACATTTATTTTACACTTCAACACAAAATACTATGTCCATGGGCAATTGAAAACATATAAATTAATATTACTATCCTAGGTAATTACAATAATTTACTAATGTTATATGAAGTTCAAAAAAGGCAAAATGAGGGATTGTATTAGTCATTGTTTTATATATATATATATATGTGTGTGTTTGTGTGTATTTATAAATTGCAAAATATGGTGTATTAGAATACTTGGAAATTTAACCTTTGTCTAATACCTCTTGCAGGTACTTTATTGGCACCTATGAGTCTACATTTTCATTTCGTATTCAAGATGAGAGAGAAATTCTTGGATTTGACCCTGACACGACCTTCAATCGTCTTTGTGGCAATAGGAAAATGAAATGTGAACAGCCGTCACGATGGAGGATAATATATTAAAATGACCCATTGTTCCATGATTGTTTTAGATCTTTTAAAATACCTGGTGCTTCTTGTATGCGTAAATAAATATGTATACACAAACATTCGTGAACAGATGCTAGAACATATATTCTTGTGTTTTGTCACAGCAAGAGGAAAAAAATGGTTACAACTATTTTGCATATAAAGCTGTGAAATAAGAAAGTTGTTTTCAAACATATGTACAGATGGGCATACATTTATATTCTGTAATAAAACTCGTGATTTTCCCAAAATGCACCTTCAGATTTGTCAAAATTAGTTCTACAACTACATTTAAGTCCCATAACTTATAGCATCAGTATCAATGTAATAATTGTCAGGGTCATCATCATCTTGTAAAATTTTTAACAACAAGTGCTTTAGGAAGTAAGAGAAAATTAAGAAAAAGGTGGTTTTTCCTTAGATTTGGAGACATTAATAATATGCATTGACAAAGTGATCATATTGTTACTCAGATGCTCAGTGCTTCATCTTGTCCTCATTAATACATTTAATTATGTATCATTTGGACTGTTATTATCCTGAGTGTAATTCATCATTTTCAGATATTAAAGTAAGTGGCATGTGCATGTCTATTAATTAGTAACAATTAGCTACTTAAAAATTATTTTGCAAATATATATATATATTTATACAAATAGAGTTTGAATCTGAATAATAGTAGCCATAACAACAATAGTAAATCCTCAGCTGCACTGTGTTTTTAAAAATTCATTATTATATTTATGAAGTTAAATACGTGGAAAAACTGAGAATCCTCATATAATTGAGAGTTGTCTATGATATTGAAAAAGTAAAGCTAAGGTCTTAATAATACTGTGCAAAAAAAACTTAATAACTGTTGCTTTTAAGTTAAAGAGAAGTGTGAGTTTTCAAATTATGTTGTCAATATCCAAAAAATATCTTACCTTTTCAGAAGAAGTTTTGTTTTACCTAATGTAAAGAATGATACGTTTTTATTATTTTTCATTTCCAGTTAATTACGTTTCTTGATTAATATTTTCTTGTTCTTTTATAACCTTTGTCAATGGCCCATTTATTTGAAGTATTATTTTGCATAGTGCCAAATATGATGAAACATCATTAGAAGATTCTATCTTGTAGAATCCATTCATTGCTTGTTATGACAATGTTATTTGACTTTGTTTTTATTAGCTCTTCATATGTTTGTTTTTCATTACAAATTTCTTGTAGCTACTATGTAAGGACAAATAATTAAACAATTTATATAAAAATATTTTTAAGTTTCATAATTTAATGAAACAAATTACCCTATGGAATTTCCTGTATATGGAAATAAAATACTAAAAAAATTTACACTTTTAAAGTGTGATATACATGATAAATATGGTTGGATAAGAATTATATATTTTGATTTGCTTCGGTGTGTTTTAAGGTACTTATAAAGTTGGCCCGGCATGGCCGGGTGGTTAGGGAGCTCGACTCGCAATCTGGGGGTCGTGGGTTTGAAGCCCCATCACCTTAAACATGCTTGCCCTTTCAGCCATGGGGGCATTATAATGTGATGGTCAATCCCACTGTTCGTTGGTAAAAGAGTAGCCCAAGAGTTGGCTGTGGGTGGTGGTGACTTCTGCCTTCCCTCTAGTCTTGCACTGCTAGATTAAGGACGGCTAGCACAGATAGCCCTTGTGTAGCTTTGTGCGAATTTCAAAACAAGCAAACAAACTTGTAAAGTTTTGTACTGGAGAATTCTAGGCATTTACATCATGACCAGTGTAACCACTTGAATATGTTCACTTCCCAACAGTACTGTCATGAACAGTTACTTTTTTGTGGCTCTATGGGTCAGCAAACTATAAAATTACTGTTAGGCTTCTGCTGAGCCTCGAAGAGGGAAAATTGCAGTACACGGTAATATTCCACTTATCAGCCTAAATCCAGTTTTCTATTAATTTTGTAGGTAAAATGTTTATCGTTCTTTTGGTGGAATCTAGGTTAGAAAAAGAAATACTTTTTTGTTGCGGCGAATTTTTAGGCAAACAATAAAAATGCCAAGAAAAATTTGGCAAAAGGCAATATAGTTCATAACTGTATCGTTTGAATATACTATATAAATAAAGCAAAAATAGAACCAATGTCCAGACCTTTATAATGCCAATTTTGTCAGAAAAAGGTCAAAATATAGGGATTTCTCTTCGATCTTAACAATGAATGGTCTACTGTAGGGACAGCGGTAAGCGTACGGATTTATAACGCTCAAATCCATGGTTTGATTCCCCGCGGTGGACGCAGCAGATAGCCCAAGGTGACTTTGCTACAAACAACAATTTACTGATACTTTTTTATTGTCGAGCATAACCGGATCACCTTTATATTTTCCGATTCCAGATCAAATACATAAGATATTTGCTTGTTATACCATTTTAACTTGGTCATTGAAATCAAGCACCAAAGTAACATTTGAGAGCATTGAGTCATTCGATCTAAGTTCTCGTCTTCACTTGGGTACATGTATTTCAAGTCAACGTACTGGTAAACCTGTCTTGAGACTCTGCCGGGATTGGAAAATTAATTGAAATACGACCTCTTCGCCATAATTACTACAAAATTGTTTGTGTGAGAAATAAATCAACTGTGTTATTGAAGACAATAGCAACCTTATAAACAGTAAAAGTATTATATATACTTTTATTTCGGTATCAGATGTTCTAAAACACGTATTTTTTCAAGAACAATAACAAAAAAACAACAAGCTTTTGGATTACTAAGCGAGTTGTGATTTGGCAGCCATGATATGTGCGTGAAATTCCCACATTACAACTTAATGTACTAATTGCTTACCACATGGTCATACTTATGCGCTTGCTATTTCTATTTTCAGGGACAATATAGGGTACTTTGATAATGGTTTTCATTCTGAACTCAATTATATTTGGTTTGTAGCGTCTTTATTCAATAGAATATACAATAATACTTCAACCAAATGTACAAAATTTTATATTTTCCCTCGTTCCTGGAAATAACAAAATCCCTGGTCGCGAAAGGATTAAAGAAACTAAAATAAACGAACTTTATAATCTTTAGCAAAGTACACTGGACGTAAAGTTCGGTTAATTTAAGATGCATGATTACTCGTCGCTAATGTAGGGCCCCCCAGTGGCACAGCGGTATGTCTGCGGACTTACAACGCTAGAATCCGGGTTTCGGTACCCGTG